ATCAACCCAAACTCTAAAACTCCATCAGTTTACAACTTGGGAATCCATCTCTAGTGGACCCCTATTAAACATCCAAACGGAAGATAGGACAACTGTAATAAACGTCCAGAAATAAAACTATAGAGAGAGCCCTACATCGTCGGAAGAGTAAATAGAGACCTCTGCTCAGCGCGAATACGTCTAAGCCTGGAACTGTCGTGTACCTGAAAAATAGAAGTGGGTCAGGCCCACGCGCAAGTTCTATACTACTACAATCCAAACAGAGGCCCGATACGCATGTACATCCTAAACAATTCAACAATAACTAATAGTCCGTAAATATATATATAGTCACACTAAAGGACTCTCGCTGGACTACAGGCCGGTCTCAACCTGAATAAAGGTAACATGCTAAAATACACACGAAGTGGGCATATGTACCTATACCTAAACAGGGTACACCTCCAACCATCGTAGCCAGCTACACATCCCGATGTATATATGCTCCCTAGCCATTGGTCCTGAGGCTCAAGCTCATACCGAGGCACCATAACAGTACATATATAAAATCCATCCAAAATCCCTGGTATTGCCGCTTAACAAGTAGTTGCCATGACAATACAAATCCACGGGACTTAACTTTAAGTTAATCCCATCTTTATTCCAAGTAGGTGGGTAATGGTATTGTTTTAAAAACCAAACCCATCCTTAGTATGCCACCGTCCCATACCGGTGCCTACTTTCCAATCCTCCAGTAGTCAATAATAACAATAAATCAAGTATATATCAACTAAATTCCAACATCCAACATTCAATGTTAGCAGTGATAAAATAAGCATTGATAAACAGGGTCATAACAACAACATATACATGCCCAATTTAAGTTGTTCCCTTTAGTCTGATATAAAGACAGAATTAATTAAAACTTCCATTTAACACCTTACAAATGACATACAGATATGTAGGGTATGTATCACAAAATCCTAACCTCCACAGTTGATACTAACTGTGATAATGTAAGCATCAAAACAATATTCACAGTATGTATGTAGACATGCTCAAATTATAGTGTTCCACAAAACCGATCTAGTGTTAAACTCAAATCCTCCTAGTATTTAAATTCCAACAGTTGCTATTACAGAAGTTAAGATAGCTATCATCTAGACCCATCCTTCCAATAATTTATACTAGCAGTGGTAAGGAAAAACGTGAACCACAGAACCACAATGCATCCACAAACATGCTTAGTCTAGGTTGAACAAGCATACAACACTACTGTAACTACCAGTTTCATAGCAAAACAGATATCATTTTAGTTTGGTTTAATCTTCATTAATCCTGAAATCATTTAAGAGTGCAAAGAGTATGAAGCCTAAGGGAAAGAGTAAGGAAAGAATCTTGCCTCAGAAACTTTTGTTCAAAGTTTCAACGTCGTCTTCTTAAAAAATCCCGGCGAGTTACAAAACCCAGTTATTGTTCATGGGTACGAAACACTATTCCCGAACTCAAAATCTGATCTTCACCGTTCAGATTGTGCGATACTGAGTCATGAACCTATCCTCTAAATTTCAGCTCGATCGGACCACGGACGAAGTGGGATCGGTTGTTTGATGAAATCTAGGCAGAATGGAAAAAAAACCTGTGCGACCCAGTTACTGTTCACGAGTACGAATCACTGTTCCCGAGGTCAAACTCTGATCTCCACCGTTCAGATTGTGCATCACTGAGTTGTGAACCTATCCTCTAAAATTCAGCTCGATCGGACCACAGACGAAGCAGGATCGGATGTTTGATGAAATCTGGGCAGAATGGAAAAACCTGTGCGACCCAGTTACTGTTCACGAGTACGAATCACTGTTCCCGAGGTCAAATTCTGATCTACACCGTTCAGATTGTGCGTCACTGAGTCATGAACCTCTCTTCCAAAATTCAGCTCGATCGGACCACGGACGAAACAGGATCGGAGCTTTGATCAAACCTTGGCAGAATGTGAAAAACTGCGTTTTTCCTTCTCCACTTCCACAAAATGTGTGCTTTGTTTAAAAAAACCCTACACAGACGTCTACCTTATACTTATAGAGTTTTCCTAAACCCTAGGTTCATTTAAGTCCAACTCACAATCCTAACCGGCCCATCCAATTAACGTAGAAACCTACGACGGCTATAATATAAAACCCTAATTTATACTGTAATTAAAACCCTAGTTAGATGTATTTACCTAATTACCTTATTCACCATTAAATACTTAACAATTAATCTAATTGAACAAAATAATAATTAGTAAACCCAATTAAACCAAATAAGACACACATAAAATAAGACACACATAGAATAATTAAACTAATTACACTTAAACCATTAATGCCAATTAAATAATTAAAACACTAACAAGTAATTTCAATCAAATAATTAAAAATAAATATCATTTAAATAAATTAAATCACCACAAAAGAAAACAATTAAGCACCTAATAAAAAAATAATAATGACACATAATCAAAAAAAATGCACTTAAATAATAAATTAAATACTATTAAATAACAGGAATATCCTTTTTAAAATTAGGGGTATTACAATTATTGTTAAATTTATATTCATGAAAGTATGTTTCTAATATGAATATATTGTTGGCTTGTGATTTCATAGCATTATGGATATGAAATGTTTATTATGCACAATTGAGAGTTATATTGCTAACTTGTTACTATGTAGTAGTAATATGTATAAGTTGTGAACTTATTTAGCTTATTTTGGAATCTTGGGACATTGTTGAGTTGAGATGGCTAGGGTTTGGCTATAGTACGGGGACGTGAGTCCTCTAAGTCATTGAGATAGTGCACACTTAGGGTGGTTTTCCTTGCGGGTTAGTGCCCAGAATAACCATTGAGGTCTCGGCAGAATTCTGAGCGTGATGTCCAAGTCTTCCACCATTTGTTTTCGCATTCAATTCCAAGTTGACAATCATGTTTACCTTGTTGACTTGTGGTTTTGGCTATTGGCGATTTTGATGTTGTTAAGTACATCCATACTAAATTGCTATATTTAGTTGATTTCACATTTTTAGATTTCTAGTTGATAACCTAGAGAGTCTATGTCTTGATGTGTGGGATTAGATATTCTAATTATGCTAAATTGTTATATTTAGTTGATGTTGCATTTTAGACTTCAAGTTGATAACCTTGAGAATCTATATGTTGTTGCTTTGTGTAAGCATACTCCTATGTTGTTGCTTTGTGTAAGCATGATCCTATATTGTTGTTTTGTGTAAGTATGATCTTATGTTGTTGCTTTGTGTAAGTATGACCCTATGTTGCTAAAATTGCATGAATGAGGTGATTGATGCTAGAAATGATCTTAGATAGCTAGGATGTTCCTTGAGTCTCACCTTTGACACAGACGTTGGGTGGAATGAACCACAATAATTAAATCATGCAAACTTGTAAAACGTAGGTCGATGCATGCTCATTTCCTACGAGTAGTTTTATGTTACTCACCCTTACGATACTGGGGCATATTTCAGGTACAAGAATCAAAGTTGAGGTCTTCATTATGCTTGGATGGTTTGTGGACTTGGAGACTTCCATTTTTGTGAAGGTTGGCTTAGAATGCCAATTGTAGCCTTGTATGTCAACATGTGTACATTTGATTCCTTATATGTAAAGTGTACATGACTACATTTTTTACGATGTATTTGACATGTATGAGATGAGGCCGGAGGCCAATGACATGTAATTTGTATCCTATGTAATTTTTGACTTCATGGAATATTATGAAAGTATTGAAAAATATTGAGTTTTTGCTTCACCATGCTTGCATTGGGTGTGGGAATTCCATTTTGATTCTTCCATTAACATTCATTCACTATGTATGAAGTGTGGCCAAGGGCCAAATGGCATTTTAAAACCATCTCATGATTTTAAATTCCAAATTTTCGTTCCAAACTTCGTTTTTTGGCATTTTGGCCGTTGGGGAGTCATTTTTTGTATCGGCCATATTTTTGGGTCATGGACCATTGTAGCACATCTTACTAGGTAAGTTACGTTTGCGTGCATGGTCGTTTCCGGGCAAAGCTTCTTCTTTGGTGAAATGAGCCTCCTACGGACTCATTTTACACTTTTGTTGCATAATCTGACCTAAGGGTATTTTGGAAAAAAAATTTGGGAAATAAATTCTGTTCTTTACATGGTCATTTAGAAAATGTGATTTTAGGGGGGGGTTTCTTTTTCGTGTTTTTCCAGAAAATGTCGTCTTGGTATCGAAAATCAATCCCGAAGTTCAGATTCTGTTTTTCCATTTAGCAGCTTTTTGGACCCTCTGGACCAGTTTTATTGGGAGGGCATTTTGGGCATTTCACAGTGCATATTTTTCAATTTTTCTAATTATGTATGTAGAAAACTCGATTTTGAGGGGGGTTTCTTCTTTGAGTTTTTCTAGAAAATGTCATCTTGGCCCTTAAATTTCCATTTTTCCCGGAAAAACCCCTGCTGCCAGGTTTTTGGGTTGCACCTTTACTGCCCCTTCACATCTAAACGTTTAGATAGGGTTTCGTAACCGGTTACATGAGTGTGGACAGCGTTTTTGTCACTGTTTTTGGCCTTCTAACCGGTTAGATAGGCCATCTAACCGGTTAGATGTTCTTGGGTTGGTACTTTTTGACCGTTTTGCCCTTTCTTCTTCCGTTAGCCATATCTTCTTCATTCGGACTCTGAATCAAGCGAATTTTGAGTCAAGTTCATTAATTTTTCATTGTCTTTCCAATGGTGTGCTCGGTGGCACCCACTTTTAAGCTGGAAATGACGTTTTTGCCCCTAGGTTCATTCTTGTTCATTTTTGAAACGTTGTTTCCGCATTTGTTTCCTTTGGGTTCCGTGACCTCGTTGAGGGTCACATTGGCGTCTTAGAATCATGTTGTGTCTCTAGAGACCGTTATTTTGTCTTTTGCTTCCGCATTTCGGATCCGTTATCGGGTCATCTTTCAGTTCATCACTGACGCACCGGGTTGAAAAACTTGGGCCGTCACAGATGGGAGCAGTTGCACAGATATGCTACAGACCGTAAAAAAGGTGCAACTCAACCTACCCGTGAGAACAGAGAGAATAACCCTCCTAGCCGCCAGTTGGGAGAAATAAAGGTGATTATGGGAGGATTTGCTTGTGGGGGATAATCAAGCTCAGCACGAAAAGCCCATGTCAGAAGAGTCCGGAGCTCGGTAGGAGTCAATGAAGTTGGAATTCATGAACCCCCACTGAAGTCTCCTACAGTGAAGGGCCAGGACATTACCTTTTTGGAAGAAGATGCTAAGGGAATCCAGCAGCCACATGACGATCCTTTGGTAGTGACAATGGTCGTGGCCAACTACGCGATCCACCGTGTACTAATCGACAATGGTAGTTCTGCCGACTTGTTATTTATTGATGCATTTGACAAGATGTGCATTGGCAAGGAAAGGTTAAGGCCAACAAAGTCCCCCCTTGTTGGTTTTTCTGGAGAAAAGGTTTTCCCTTTAGATGTAGTCACACTTCCGTTGACAGCCGGGACCAGTCCAAAACAAGTAACCGTGATGGTTGATTTTTTAGTGGTGGACTGTCCATCTACGTATAATATAATCCTAGGGAGAACAACTTTGAATGCAATGAGAGCTGTCACTTTAACATACCACCTATTAATGCGGTTCCCTACAGAGCAAGGCATTGGTGAGTTAAGAGGTGACCAAGCCACGGCAAGGGAGTGTTATGCTGCTGCTTTAAGAACAAAAAAGTTACAGGAAGCATTGGCCATTGAGAAACCAGAAGGGTTAACTGAGAAGGAACTCAATCAAAGGGCGGAACCAGTAGAGGACCTCATAGAGATCGACTTGGATGAAGAAAGAGCTGGAAGAAAGGTGAGTATAGGGTTATTACTCAACCCACTCATCCGAGATTCACTCGTTCAACTTCTCAGAGATAACAAAGATGTGTTTGCATGGGCACATGACGATATGCCTGGCATCAACCCCTCCATTGTGCAGCATCGGCTCAATGTGGATCCATCTTTCAAACCGGTCAGACAGAAAAGGTGAGTGTTTGTTCCAGAGAGGAACCTTGCTATATCAGAGGATATCGAGAAACCCCTGAAGGCCGACTTTATCCGGGAGGTACAGTACCTCCATTGGTTGTCTAATGTGGTTCTGGTCAAAAAGGCAAATAGCAAGTGGAGGCTTTGTGTTGATTTTACAGATCTAAATGAGGCTTGCCCAAAGGATAGTTTTCTTTTGCCAATGATTGATATGTTGGTTGAAGGAACAGCAAGGCATGAGTTACTTAACTTTATGGATACTTACTCCGGATACAACCAGAGCCCAATGTATGCTCCTAACAGTGAAAAAACTTCTTTTATTACTGACAGAGGTTTATATTGCTATAAGGTGATGCCATTTAGGAAGAATGCTAGCGCCACCTATCAGAGGCTAGTCAACACAATGTTCAAGCAACAGATAGGGAGAAACATGGAAGTGTATGTGGATGACATGTTGGTAAAGAGCCTGAAGGCCAAAAACCACTTAGCTGATTTACAGGAATCTTTTGATGTGCTTAGGGCCCATAATATGCGCCTAAATCCAACCAAGTGCGCCTTTGGAGTATACTCAAAAAAAATTCTGGGGTATATGGTAAGCCAAAGGGGAATCGAGGCAAACCCTGAAAAGATTCAGGCAATACTAGATATGAGATCACCTAGATCAACCAAAGAGGTTTAGAAGCTAGCAGAAAAGGTCGCAGCTTTGAACAGGTTAATCTCTCGAGCCACTGACAAATGCCTTCCTTTCTTTAAGATACTAAAGAAAGCCTTCGAGTGGACCCCAGAGTGCGAGCAAGCATTCATTGGGCTCAAAAATTATCTCAACTCACCACCATTATTGTCCCGAGCAATTTCTGGAGAAAGTTTGTACCTTTACTTAGCAGTTTCCCCCGCAGCGGTAAGCTCAGCATTGGTTAGGGAGGAAAACAGTATTCAAAAACTGATATATTATACTAGTTGAGTACTTCGGGGAGCAGAAGAAAAGTACCTGGTAATAGAGAAATTAACGTTTGCGCTAATTGTGGCAGCAAGGAAACTCAGACCATATTTCCAAGCACACACCATAATAGTGCTAACAGACCAACCACTAAGGCAGGTCCTATACAAGCCAGAGACGTCAGGGTGCCTCACAAAGTGGTCAGTAGAACTTGGAGAGTTCGACATACAGTACAAGCCAAGGGTAGCAATAAAAGGCCAAGCACTTGCTGATTTTGTGGTTGAGTTTTCTTCTTCTCTAGAAGATAATGGGGTCACAGCCGTAGCTGAAATTAATCCTGAGAATCAGATGCATTTGGATGATGTTTGGTCACTTTATGTTGACGGGTCATCCAACGCCCGAGCCTGTGGGGCCGGGTTGGTGATTATATCGCCAGAGGGAGAGAATCTGAAATATGCACTTCGATTTGGTTTTAGAGCCACCAATAATGAAGCGGAATACGAGGCTTTGATAGCAGGATTAAAGTTAACAGAGGCTCTCGGAGTGCAACAATTGAAGGTGTTTACTGATTCTCAGTTGATTGTAGGACAAGTTTGTGAGGAATACGAAGCCAAAGATGACAAGATGAAATTGTACTTGCATAAGGTGAGGTGCCTAATTGGTCGCTTCAAGAAGTTTACAATCACACAAATACCCAGAAATGAAAACGAGAATACAGTTGCATTAGCTCGGCTAGCCACCGCAGAAGAGCTTGAGAGTACTAAGGCTATACCACTTGAGTATTTGGAAGAGCCTAGTATATCCAAAGAGCACAAGGAAGCAAACCAGTTAGCACCGGGGTAGAGTGGGCAAATTCAATAGTCAGGTACTTTAAGAATGGGGAGTTACCATAAAACCCGGTGGAAGCTCGGAAGGTAAGGGTTCGAGCACCCAGGTACACGCTTGTAAATGGAGTTCTCTACAAAAGGGGTTTTTCTCTGCCCTTTTTTACGTTGTGTCTCAGCAGAGGAAGCTCGCTACATCATGAAAGAGATACAAGAAGGTGCATGCGGAAATCATGCAGGGGGCAGATCATTGGCTTACAAAACAATTCGTCAAGGCTATTATTGGCCCACCATGCAGAGAGATGCATTGGAATTTGTAAGGAAGTGTGATAAATGTCAACGGTTTGCTAATGTTCCTAGACAACCACCCGAGGAGCTAGTGCCGATGTCAAGTCCATGGCCCTTTGCTCAATGGGGAATGGACCTGATTGGTCCACTGGCTACAGGGAAAATCCAAACCAAATATGTTGTTATGGCAATCGACTATTTCACCAAGTGGGTAGAAGCTCAACCATTGGCCACTATCACGGCAAACAATCTCAAAGACTTCACTTGGAAGTCTATAGTGTGCAGGTTTGGAGTTTCCCATGTCATTGTGTCAGACAACGGTAAGCAGTTCGACTGTACTGTCTTCAAAGATTTTTGTTCCCAGTTAGGAATAAGAAATCATTACTCATCGCCCGAACATTCGCAAGCCAACGGGCAAGCAGAAGTGGCCAACAGGACAATATTCAGTTTGATTAAGAAGCGACTTGAGAAAGCAAAAGGGGGGTGGCCGGAGGAGTTGCCTGGTGTATTATGGGCTTACAGAACTACAACAAAAACCTCGACAGGTGAAACTCCTTTTCTTTTAGCCTTTGGGAGCAAAGTAGTAATTCCAGTGGAAACTAGTGTAATAAGTTTCAGAACCAAACACTATGATCCACTCCAGAATGAAAGAGAACTAGCTGTCAACTTGGATTTAATTGAAGAGATGAGAGAACAAGCTCAAATCAAAGTTGCAGCCTATCAACAAACGATGTCTCGATATTATAACTCTCGTGTAAGGAAAATGAGGTTCCAACCCGGTGACCTTATGTTACGTAGAGTGACTCAGGCAACTAAGGAGCCTAATGAGGGCAAACTTGCCCCCAATTGGGAAGGCCCTTATAGGGTTGTTCATATAAGAAGACAAGGCACTTATTGGCTAGAGACATTAGGGGGAAAGCAACTTGACCACCCTTGGAATACAGAACACCTAAGGAAGTACTATCAGTAAAGTTATAATTCAATATTAGTGTTGGCTTTTATTTTTCAGACTGTTTAATGTTAGTTTCGGGTCGATTCGTGACTTAGTCTTTCATTTTCAATAAGCCATGAGGCAATGATAGTTTTTAATAAAATTCCTCTCAGTTGCGTTAACTCTTGGTCAGTTATCTTTACACTTGCAATGTCCCCGTACTATAAGGGATAGTCAATAAGTGTCGTGTACTAAGAGGACTCGGGCTGAATTAATCCCGTAATCAATGTCCCCGTACTATAAGGGATAGTCAATAAGCGTCTTGTACTAAAAGGACCCAGGCTGAATGAATCCCGTAATCAATATCCCCGTACTATAAAGGATAGTCAATAAGCGTCATGTACTAAAAGGATCCGGGCTGAATGAATCCCGTAATCAATATCCCCGTACCATAAGGGATGGTAAATAAGTGTCTTGTACTAAAAGGACCCGGGCTGAATTAATCCCGTAATCAATGTCCCCGTACTATAAGGGATGATAAGTAAGTGTCCTGTACTAAAAGGACCCGAGCTGAATTAATCCCGTAATCAATGTCCCCGTACTATAAGGGATGGTAAATAAGTGTCCTGTATTAAAAGGACCCGGGCTAAATGAATTTCGTAATCAATATCTCCGTACTATAAGGGAGACTAACAGTGCTCCGTACTATAAAAGGCCCAGCTATATAAAACCCATAATCGTTGTCGCAAAGTGATACAAGATTATAATAGAGTTCTTCATACAATAACACTACTCGTATAATGGGAGTTTGGTTCACGACTAAAAGACAATTTTCAACGTTACAATAGTAAAGGGAATTGAAATTGCATAAAGATAAAACGAGGAACAGGAAGCTAATCCTCGTCGTCTTCCTCTTCCTCCTCAGCATCCATGGCATCATCTGAATCAGCTGAAAAAGGTTTAAAGCTTCCAAAATCTACATTTGGATAGGCAGAAAGAGTGTCAACTCGAAAAGACTCAAAGCCATCCTTGAAATTCTTTGCTTTCAGATACTCAAACTTTGGGGAGGTTTTGAATTTAGCAATAGCAAATGGCCCTTCAAGGGCGAGTTTGGTAGAAAAATCGCCGTTGAGGTCCGCGATGCGCGCGTCATAGCTGGCTCGCACGTCTGTTAGTTCTTTGGTAAGGGTCGCTTCAGCTGCCTCCGCCTTCTTTCGGCACCCCTTTTCTCTCGCAACCTTATTTTGACTTGATTCGTGCGCCGCACGAAGGAAAGATACTATGGAATTAAACTCTTCCTCCTTTTTGTTGAGCAGCATTTTGGAAGCTATGGCTCGGTGCGACACACTCGTAAAAAATGTGGTAACCTGTGAACAAAAGGCAGTGGTGAGAGCTAAAAAACAATATAATAATAATAATACTGTGGTAAAAAAAGGAGGGACACTCACTTGACCCAGATCGTGAAGGCCGGCATCCAAGGTTTGCTTAAATGAAGCTGATTCCAAATCATTAACATCATTTGCTAGAATAAAGTTATCCATCCTGCGGGCAGCAAAGGTAGTATCACGAAGGACCGATTGGCGCTTGGATGAAGTAATGGGCTTTGTAGGTTGGCCAGAACAGCCCCAGAGAGGTTTTCCTTAGGGAAGCAATGGGGTAAACGAGGGTTCAACAGATCCGCTGAAAGGGTTCTCACTGTTAAGCATATCCTGAAATAATGGTTGTGTAGGAACGTTAAAGGTTGTCAAAAACGGATTTGGGTAGGTAACGCCTCCTGTAAAGAAGAAGTTTCAGCAGGCGGATGAGTTACTTAATTTGAACTGCTCATTTTTCCCCTCCTAGCCGGTGGAGATGTGTTATCATTATTGCGAAACTGTTCAATCACATCATGATCGAATATCGGTGGTGCAGCTGCAAGGGGGGCTAACACAATCAATATAGACAATAAAATGAGTGTACAATTTGGCTCAAGAGATAAACTCACAATACCTTCAACTATGGTGAGGGGTGTTGCAACAACCCTGTTGCTGAGTTCAAATGAAGTAATGGTCTGCGGATTCACTATATCTGCCCACACTTTTAACGGGTACGCACGGGCTCTTGCTATATTAGCATGCTATTCATCGGTTAGGTCACGATCTATTGTCAAATCTATTGAAGTAAGAAGTGTTAACTAAGTCAAAGCAGTCATCTGATGAGAATAAATAAAATAAACTTTTTACCAGCAAGATTCGGCTCACTCCATGATCGGGGCACAGAAAGGCTCTTGTCCTCGGGGCTGGCACCCACATCAAACTCCCAACCATCTCCGGACACAAAGAAGAAAGCCAATCTCCATTTTCGGGGGTAGCTAGGAAGCTTTCCTAGCAAGGCGTCAGGTGGGTGGGCAAAGTTGAGCCCATCACCAGCTTTCTTCCTGGGTTGAAAGAAGTGAAGAAACTCCTTCAATGTCAAAGGAGTATTACAGCACAAATGCCACAAAATCATGCATCCCACAACTGTTTTCCAAGCATTTGGAGAAAGTTAGGAGGGAGCTAGATTAAAGAACCTGAGTAGCTCCCTAACAAATTTAGGTAAGGGGAACCGTAAGCCAGCATCAAAAGCCGTCTCTAAGAAACATGTATAACCTTCCAGAGGATCGTCACATACTCTTTCGTGAGGAGAAGCACCTTATCGGCTGAATTATTGCACTCAATGACCTTCCCGTGAGGTTAGGTTGAGGAAGCCATGGGAAAAGGAAATGAGTGCAAGTGGTAAGGAGAAAAAGAAGCAAGAGGAGGGGAAGGAGGCAGAAGAAGGTAATTAAAATGTTCAGGCACTCATTGCGATTTAAATAGGCGGAGACAAATTTAATCTACTGCAACAACGGTTATAAAAGTAGCCGTTAAAAAATGGACACTTGCAATTTGAAATTGAAAATGCGAGGCCCCCTCATCTAGTTGCTCGCCAATTGGAGTCCCTTGTAGAGAGTCCCTGCATTACTAGACGAACAAATGGCAATAATCCAAGGCTTACACCAGAGGCTCCTAAGTTGTTTAACAGGGGTCCCCTACGTTTTTCTCTTGATAGCTACAAGTAAGTGGCCGTAACACAAGGTCTATGCTGGTTTCTATGTTGTAAAGGAAAAGGGAATCCTTTGTAACTTTATGACAAGGGGGTCCCTTGCACCTTTTTGGCAAAGGGTCCCTTGTACCTTTATGACAAATGGATCCTTTGCACTTTTTTGACAAGGGAGTCCCTTACACCTTTTTGGTAAAGGGTCCCTTGTACCTTTATGACAAAATGATCCCTTGCACCTTTTTGACAAGAGGGTCCCTTGCACCTTTTTGGCAAAGGGTCCTTTGTACCTTTATGACAAGGGTCCCTTACACCTTTTTGACAAGGGAGTCTCTTGCACCTTTTTGACAAGGGGCCCTTGCACCTTTTTGGCAAGGAGGTTTCTTGCACCTTTATGACAAATGGACCATTGCTATCTTTGACGGAGAGGTTCCCTCCATTTGCCATGAAGGCCCCAATAATATAAATATATAAAATGAAATATATATATATATATATATATATATTATATTCTACTAATCTTCCAGGGAATCAAACACCTTACATTCTCTTAGTTTGAGATCTAAACATGAGAATGGGGGGCAACTGATGATACGGTCTCTACAATCCAACACGAATACATAAGTTCTAACAGACACGGAAGCCAAGAAGTCAGAAAAGCTACAGTTACGAAACGATATGGATAAGGATAAGTTCTTCAGATCTGTATTGTACTAGAATAACGAGATTAATTCCCTTATCAA